TGGTGGGTAGCGAAAGCAAGAGAGATGGAAAAGGCAACGGCAATAGGTAATAGCAGACAATTGTTCAGACTCGTTAAGGAAACCGACTGTTAGCGAAGCACTCTCAGAGAAAGATGGACATATTATACATTCTCAATCCAGGAGATTGGATCGATGGGCAGAACACTTTAGGGATCAGTTCAACTGGCCGTCAGCCACACTTCGGTTTTCCACGATCTCCAGTCAACCTGAATGGCAAGTTAATGTAGGTCCTCCATCTCTTTACGAAGTTGAAAAAGCCATAGGAAATCTGAAGCGAGGGAGAGCAGCAGGCCCTGACAGGTTTACTCCTGAGATTTTTAAGGATGGTGGTCCAGTATTAGCAATGAAATTAACCGAGGTCTTAGGTAGAATTTGGGAACTGGACGTAATCCCATCTGATTGGTCTCAATCACTGATTGTGTCAGTCTCACAAAAGGACAAAAGTCCTCTTGTGACAATCACAGAGGAATCAGTTTGACTAATATAGTGTCTAAAATATTAGCTTCAATAATACTTCGACGCCTAACCAAAGCTCGTGAAGAACAGACTAGAGAAAATCAGGCTGGTTTTCGACCTGGACGTGGTTGTATAGACCAAATATTCACACTACGTCAGGTTCTAGAACACAGATACACATCCAGACGCCCCACAATGGTAATATTTCTCGACCTTAAGGCGGAATTCGACTCTGTTGATCATAAGGTTCTATGGCAGTGTTTGTCACGGAAAGGAGTACCAAAGAAGTACATTAACCTTATTGAGGCTCTCTACTCGAACACAACTGGTAGAGTGAGAGCTTATGGCGAACTGTCATCAGAATTGATTACCTCAAATGGTGTTTGTAAGGGCAAGAACAGAAATCGAATTGTTGACATCTGGAGTTCTGTTTCTCTCCTCGAGTAGTAAATTACTGGGGTTCTCTACCACAACACTTAAAGCGAGACTGGACATCCATAATGTTAAAAATTGCAGGAATTTATATAAGTCGATAGACCTATTGTAGTGTCGGTTACTACTTATCGTAGCTTCTAGACAAGCCAATTTATCCATTATTCTTGAGTCACATTATGACCTTGTTAATTATTCGCTTGTTAACCCTGACTGCTTTTACGTAAGTGTATGTGTGTGCGTTTCTTACCTTACTCATCATATGTCTGTAACTTATTTTTACCTGACTATAAATATCTATTAATGCTTGATTGAATGGAGTTAGCTCATTTGCCTTCTTTACTGCGTGTCATTTTGCTTCGCTCTGTACTCTTCGCTTTGTTCCTCCGATTGCCTGTCCAGATTAATGAGTGTCCAAAATATATGTATTCAGAAACCCATTCTCGTATTTAACTTATTTAATTCCTCTATACACTAACACGGATTAAGCCGGTAATAATATATAAAAATAGTCAGGATGTATATTTTGAAAGTAATCATTCACACGATTAAATTGGAGTCAGATTTATGGCCACTAAACTATCCTAACTAATGAATACTGGAACGGCACTATTAAGAAGTGTGTTTACATATGTCCGTACGTACGCGAAGTTGAGACGACCATACAACGGTGTTTATCAAGAAACACGAAACGATATCATTAGGTGCGTACTATGATATAAAATGAAGTTCGTTACTCAAATTTACAGCTGGATTAGGACACAAATGGACTTAAGTTTATACTAAGTGGCCGTTATGACAGTGAATATGCTAAGTGAATTCGGACTGTATATACAGAAAGAGGTACCTTAGGACAAAACTACATGACTTTCGAACTAAGTATTCAAATATTAACTACCAAAATAAACTAACTATGAATCCGAAGAAAAATACATAAACCAACCTGAGTAAAACCTCACTTAACACACTGCCATGACTCACCTGAGTCGTTGACATTGATGAACACTTGATCAAGATCTTCTTTCGACTCTATTATAGTATTATTTAACCACTGTTGTGCAGCAAAACGGTAACCTTCATCGCATTGCGAAAGAAGCACTATTGCAATCAAAAACTTTTTATGACTGTTGATACATGAGAGCCGGGAAAAATAATATAGCTCCTGTGCATTCAACAGTAAATTTAGATCATTCCTTACATTAATACCAAACGCTTGTTCTTCTGTAACGTAAAATTCATCCTCTGATTTCCCACCTAAACCACTATCACAGCCATCGCCCAACTCCAGATTGTTATCCAAACAAATCGTGGGAATACTAGTGACGTTACATTGCGAAACAGACGCTTTCGCCGATGACATCAAGGAATACAACTCATTACAGAATTCAGCCGGAGACTGTAACGTTCAATTATGAAATGTCCTCTTTTTCAACCTCAATCATTTCAATAGACAAAATTTACTGACCAGAAGTACAAAAATAAAAATACTAATCAATAGTTCAAACGATTAAAGAATAGCAACAACAGTTTTCTCTTTCGCTACTTAAAGAAAAGAAGTGAGTGTAATGGCAAATTAATCCCCAAAATCAATAGCTCTGAAAGACTTCGAAATTTGATGTTGACCGCATTAGTATTAATAGACTGATTTAGCTGAAGTCGCTCGATCACGCACCCGCACTAGATCACCAGTGAGTACGCCGTACTTTACTTGTCTTACAACCGCTAACCAACTTGATATTCTATCAAATATATCTTCGAGTCAATTAGCTTCTCATTTCACTGAGTTGGCACTTTTCGATTACAAAAGGTTTTGCTGGTTAAGATATAGTCAAACTCCTAACACTTGTGACATCTTTGTAAATACCAGGCTTTCAAACTTTTTTAAATAGAATTGTCAAACTTTTACTTAAAAATGAGTATGTATATTAAAAGAACATTTTGACAGTGGGAATACATGGTTCTTTTATATCCGTCGTAGAAACCGAGAGACAAAACAATTGATTTGAAAGTAAGCCTCATTAGTCGTGCATTTTTGATAGGAGACATCCAGAGTATCACGAAGAGTAACACGTGATTCGTCCCCAGTGATAGTGTGAAAAACGAATCGCGCAGATATCGTGAAGTGAACGAAATGTCTTTACCGTTCATCATTAGGATTCTGGATTTACAAGTATTGGAAAAGAGAAATTTTTGTCGGTCAAGACAAGTATCTTATTAAGGGATCCCTTAAGAGACCATACATAAGCGAAACTAGGAATCTCCCTCAGAATCATCGAATCATCTGCTTATGGAGAATTCTGAGTGTCGAGAGAGTTAGGTCGGTTCTTAGTGAACAATAGGGAAAGGGATAGCCTTGTGGCATCCCACTTGTCATTTGAAACCACTGTGAGAGTACAGATGGAACTCTGACAGCTTGTAGTCTCCTGTTTAGATAATAGATATTCAACATTTGTAGACGAGAAAAATCTAACGATGGAGAAGCCACGAACACAGTTGAATTAATTCGAAATGATCGGATGGCATGGCTCGGCTTTTCAAACGTGGTCTTATCCATATTAGATATATTTTTATATCTTTAGTCTAAATGCGTTTTTCATCATATATTGATAATTGTCACAACACAATGAATCATGATAGACAATGATGTGACTTCCACTTAAGATCTTATAGAATAGGCAATTACATCATAACACATCTACAATTTTTGGACTAGATCTATCAGTGTTACGGGAGAACTGAAGACATTTGCTGGTTATAACCTTTATATTAAGTAGTCTCAATTTTACTACGCTTTTGGATGTATTTGTTTTACTCAACTTCTGGACTTGTTTCTTTATATCAATACTTTTGGACATTTTAGTTTCTCTTTGTCGTTAGTTTAGTAGTTGGAAGTTTTCGCTCAGGTAACCTACTAAATTGAAGAACGACATTCTGGTCGACTATTTGTAAATCGCGAGTGAACTTTGATGGATATACCGTGCTTCAACAACGAGAACGAGAAGAAACTTGGACGTAACATAAAGTTCTTCAATTTTTAGTTCTGTGGTATTCATGCCTTAGAGTTTTTGGACATTTCTTCCACGCGTTCAGGAACATAAAGACGCACTTAAAATGCCTAAAACTTTCCCCTTGTCGTACCCCGGCATGCGCAGTGACTTTATACTGCCATTTTGTATCTTTATTCACGATCCGGGTGTTAATGTATCTTATTATTTTACTCCCTCCATATCTGATAATCTCCAAGGTCATATAAAAAAATTTCAGAAACCGCGATCTGATAAACTTAAAGTGGGGTTCTTTATTTCTTACTGAGTAGTCAATAACTAAAACGCCTTGTCCGGACAAGTGGTATCAGCCTCATCAGTGAACATCTTCAGGAAGAAGCTGGAACTTCATAGAAAGACAAACTGTCAGAATTAATACAGGGGCATCAGCATACTATCCTTGTTACTGAAGAACGAAACACCAATTTTTTCCAGACGATTCTACTTAGGTTCCACTCCTATTATTTGTGTTGAGACGTTTCGTAGTCTACTGATTTCGACCACATGAAATTCTGGACAAATTTTCCTGCAAGCCTTTTCATTTTCGATTCTGAATAGATGTCCTGTTATGTAGTACTTGTAACTAATTTTAATTGATACGAAGAAATTTTAAAAATTATTGTGGAATCATTGAACAGTCTAGCTTTTGGTAGATTCAGGTTTATTCTGAGGCTTCATTATGTGCTATAGTAGCTTATTTAGATCCATATTTAAAAGAATCGTGTAAGAAAAGACGAGAAAATATCTAGTTTGACAATCGAGTAAGAACATTGAACTCACTTAGTTTTTGATAAAAATGTCATCAATATATCAATCACACAGTTGTGGGATTAAGAAATTGATAAATAAACATATAAGTGAACAGAGTGAGACCCCGAGTGAATTATACCAAGGCATTTGTGATTCATGAAAGGTAAGATCTAAAAAACTAACTTCCAATCTTACACTGAATATTTTCGAAGTGCATCGATAGCCTACGCATGAAAGTAGTCTAAATGTTTTACTTTTTATATCATTTAAGTACTTCTTTGAACGTGGTGAATAGTGGACACATTTGGAAAGTGGATTTTCAGTTTAGGTGTCTACTATTCTAGGTCACTGATGTTTTCTAAAAAGCAATCTGATGGATCGAGGCGGTTGCTCGAGAAAAAAATGTACCTCGTAGGTTAAAACTAAATGCTACCTTAAATGAAAATTTTAATTGAAACTGATGGCATTGATTTCACCATAAACGATTTATCGATTTATAAATCGTTACATTAATGTAGTTCAAGTAACCAGTAAAAGGGAAATAAAGGCGAACAAGAAAAAATAAAGTGTGAATTCCGTTAGAAAATCAAGGAGAAACGCATAAAAATAATGCGGGATTTCTCCTTTTTGTCGCTGTCTGTCTGAAATACCGCAGAATGATCTTTTCGCCTAGTCCCAAGTGTCTGATATGTTCACCTTTATTTCCATTGTATAACACGATGACTGCTGTCGAATACATTAAAAAAATAATACATGGATGAAGATATTTATCAACGAGAAATAATATCATAGTTCATTAGGAGATCAAAACTGTTGATCTGTCTATTGATTGACAGATGCTCGTTACGTATTTTAATTGTGAATTCAGTGTACCATTGTCACTTACCACGATCAAAAGAAGTTACAGGTGATGGACTATTTATGTCCTGACTAATAAGTACATGAAGCCAAACAGGCCCTCACGAAGTACGCTTCATTAGTTCCAACGTGTCACGTGCATGTCAGAAAGTCAATTCATCAAAAATACGGTGAGACTATGCTTTGTGGACAACCTGTGATCGACGCTGAAGTGACCCTGAGAATTTCCATTTATTAACTAGGACTAAATAACTTATAAAGCAGTTTGAGGTATTATAACTATAGGTTACAGTTGATAATTAGGAACTAGGTTTAGAGTTTTCATCACGAACTGACATCAGCTAAAATGCCAATACGCTATATAGCTAGATGGGCAAATAAATTTCGCGCCAAGACCTGTTATATTATATCTGACTGGTTCGTCCATAAATTATAGTCTGAACGAAAAAAAGCTTCACTAAAAATTAAGTTTAACACAAAAAATTTCAGTAATATCGCTTTTCTTAAGGTGTGTTGCTATGAAGAATCAAAATAATCCTCTTGTGAATTCTGAAATTTAGTAAACGCACGGTCTCGTGGTATGAAATTAAGCTGTACATGACTGTCATCTGTTGGTCCTTCACGACTCTTTGGTTGCGGTCCTAAAATTAGTGCAACACGGTGGCTTGAGACGTTATCAGATATGATTCAGAATAAAATCCAATGGCTATCCTGCACTATTCATTCACTTCATAAAAATGAGTGTAACTTTCCTAATTAAAAGAACTTTCTGGCTATATTTTTCCTAACTGATCTGCCTCTCCTATAAAAATGTAATAATAATTATTATTATCTTTTCAAACCCTCATTTTATTGTGTGGTGCATTTGTATTTAGTGCCCCCTTGTACCAAAGTTAAGGTGTTCAAATAAATAAATAAAATATTCACCTAATTAAAATCATCGTTTGAACTTCAGACAAACGGTTTCTTCATACTTATCAGAAAAGCAGTAGCTCAGTAGTCAGGGTGTTGGACTCTCAGACACTAAGTAGTCTGTACCAACCCTACTCCCGTCTATTTCGATTCGGCTGACTGGGTACTATCACTACTAACCTTCACACTTAGAGTTTAGCTTCAAGTCAAGTATACGGGCCTGTACCTGGTAAATGAATTGATAATAATCTATCATACTTATAAATTTTCCTTGTTGACTTGAATACCTTCCTCCTTTTATATGCACTTTCTGTGTTGTACTATTTGTAAGTGTAGGGATTTGAACTCAGTTATTTTTGTGTCAAGTATTTCTTATTAAGCTATGTACGTGGAGAATGTTTGAGATATTAGAAATATTTGTTTAAAATTTTTAATATTAAGCTGCCAGTTTCCCAAGTGTATTTTTATTTTGCAGTATTTCGTAATATATTTGCAAGTAATTTCTTTTTGAGATTGTATACCTATTCTATTTTCTATATCTGTATAAATTTTAGGCTCGAGAACGTCCAGATGATATATTTGATCTGTCTTCGTGTGAACTTAAAATGGTAATATATATACTTTATATTTGATAGGATTACAATTAATATTTAGATTCCTGAAGGAACTTTTTCACTTGTTAAAGTTTTACTAAAAACAAAATTATATTTACAACAAAATTTCTTACAAAAACTTGATTCCGGTGGTAAACTAACATATCTTCAAAATATTGTACTGCTTGATATAAGTTCAAATGAATTTCAACAATTACCTAATAATATTTCTGAGTTGAAATGTTTACAGGTAATATTTTGATTATATTGTTTCCGGTAAAATTAATAGCCTAAAATTATATATTTAGGTTTTAAATGCTTCAAAAAATCTATTATCAACATTACCATCTACCATAACATCTCTTTCTCAACTTTTATTTCTTAACATTGAAGGTAAATTGAAATATAAAGATTTTCACGATAATTTTACGCTATACTATTTTCTCCCAGTGTTGTGTACACATGTCCTTAGAGTGATATTCTTTTTTGTGTGTATATGGGTTTTATACTTTCCCGTTGTTGATATTCGAGATTACACCTAACCAATCTCTGTTGGTATATGTGTTCTTTGAGCGAATGCCTTGATATTTTCTGTGACTACAAGTTAATTGTAAGTATTTTAGACTATGGATAGTATTGAATTCAGAAACCATCTGATTTGAATCTCAGTATTTTTTGTTTACACAGATGCGAAATCAAGTATTTGTCTCTTGAAAAGTTAACCGACTATCAATTTAGTGACAGCCACTGCAACTTTTAACTTATACAATGGATATAACGTTGTTTATTATTATTTCATCCTTTCGCTCTCATTAAGTAAGATTATAAACGAATATTTCAGGTTAAGTAAATATTGTTTCACTAACTTAACAAAATGTTCGACACTCAATAATGAACTGTAGATTTGTAAGCAAACTTTCACTCAATATTCATCGTACTTAAAAATACTTCAGTGGTTTTTAATTAAAATCTTATTTTTCCTAAATATCGATTGTTTCATGGTCGAAAAAATCGTTTGAACCGCATTAAAACAATAATATTCGGGGAACCAATCAAATTGACGATGACATCTATTGGAGTGTGTTCAAAATACAAAACGCAGTGAAAGATAACATACATCTTACTGAAAAGCAAGTAAAATTGTCTATACTCAGTTTCTCAAATACTTGAAACTGTTAAAAGTATCTTTTGTCCGAATATATAGTGAATGCGAAGTAGAGTGTACGCTGAATTACAAGAAACACATTATCCTAATGCAGACTGTCTGAATGTAATTAAGATGATTCAAGGCATGGAGAAAGATGTTCTAGCGGTAAACAAATTCCCTGACTCTAACAATCCTAACCCTTAACTTAATCCTCATTGCTAACTCCCAGTCCTAACACTCTTAACCCCAACTTTTAACAATGACATTGCTAATAGTAACTCACGACTCCTACCTGGGTTCCTATTTTTTAATCCTAATAGATTTTTGTTTATTTATCATATTAAAGTTGTTTATCCCATTGCAATTTTATTACTGTTCGTCACAAATTGTTTCAAAACTAAACACTTTTCTGGTTGCGTAATAAACCGCTCAAGGTCGTAGTTATAACATCGTTTACTCAGAAATCTTTTTTAAGATATAAGAAACAAAAATGTATTCACATTTTTTCAAGAAAATTTATTTTAATTATTCTACAGATAATCGTCTTACTGAATTACCATCAGATTTTGGGAAATTACAACATATTACTAAACTTTATTTGAAAAATAATCCTTTGTCATTTTTACCTAAACAATTGTGCTATTTGAAAGATTTGAAAGAATTAACTCTTTCCTGCGATCATATACAATATCCTACTTCAGGTGGGTGTAATCTCATGAAATTTCAATGTTGTTCATTAAAAAGAAAGCAGCTAATATAATTCAGTTGTTGAATACAAATTTTGAATCAAACTGTTTGTTTGAAGGGCTAGTTTGATACTATCTAGTTAGTCAGAATATTGAAGTAATTGGAGCAAGAGGTTGTTGTTAATCTATTATGGACCAGTTACATAGTTTCATTTACACATACTGTGTAGTTATGCGCACTTATTTCTTATTTATGTTGGTGTGTGAACAGAATATTACACCATATTGTTGTATGAGTCCACTCATATAAGGAAACAGCTGTGAAATAAGGATTTTATCTGTTTGCTAATTTCTTCTTTTGATTGAATACTGGATATTAATTGGTCAGAGGACTGACAAGCATTAAGGACTTGGCATTTATTCATTAATCATTCAGATATTGATAAAATAGGTCATCTGGCCTACATCCTTAGAGCGAACTAATCAATAATTTGACTAAACAATACTAATGTTTTAATAATAATGCCCGACCATATGGGCTCCAGTACAATTTATGAACATGTTTTTTTCTTTTTGAAGAGTAAAACGATCTGGAAAGATTCCACATTGAGTAATTAACTGCTAGAGGTACTCGAGCGAACTACCGTTCTCAGTAAATTGATTATGTTTCTGCATTTAGAAATCCATAATTTCTGTGGTACAATGATCGAAATGTTGCATATATAAACTAATAGACATTGTTACAAGTCAAACTAGTGAATTTTTATATTGATTATGACCTATATCTTTTGAAAAGTCATGTAACAGGAAAGGTAGGAAAACTTCCTTCTTTTTTTCTTCGTCCTCTTCTTCTTACTATTGTTATTTCAGAGCATCAACCCAGCATCTAACGGTTTACACGTGACATGGTTGAACTTCACTATTCATGGCTTCTCACTGAGACATGAAGAATCACTTCTCAAATTTAGTCACTAGTGAGCACATGATTATTATTACTATAAGGGGTTTGTGGAGATTTTTGAATTTTATAGTTTACATCACCGACTGATCTTGACCATTACAAACCAAGAAACCCTGGATAACTTGTTAGCCTTCGTATACGACTTTTGACCAATGCGCACACATGACCCTAACCATTGGGGATCGAATCCAGATTCTTCAAGTTTCTCGAAGTATGCTTAACCTTAGATCAACCTCTAAGTTGACATCCAATCCATGATATTGCACAGTTATTCTTTATAAGTATTGCTGAAATTTTATTATAATAACACGGAGGTCAAAGAGTTATGTATTTCCAATTGAATATATACTTTTTATATTGATTATTCTTTTCTAGATATATGTAAACTGGGACTGACAGCAATAATGGATTATTTATCTCAAGGTATATTTTCCTTAAAGTATTAATTTATTCCTCTTGTATTCTTCTTCATTTTTCTATTATGTCATATTTTCATACTTCATATTCATAAGTATATTTTTGTCTTATATAGTTCATAAATTCTCTTCATTATATAACTTGACAGATTGACTTGTGATTGTCATGTATTAAGAATTCAGTGTTATCATCCAATAGGAATTATTGAAATAATTCTATCGTTTCAAATTAATCCACTTACAGTATTGGAGTGATATTCAAATGTTTGCTAGAGACAGTATTTTACTCTTTAAATGACGCATTCAAAATATGGCTACTAAGAGTGTTAGACATACGTAAGTTATAAACATTTCTTGATGGATCTTTTCAAACTGCACTTCATGTGTGTAATGGAAGTAAGCTAAGCTAATAGGAAATTGTAGTGAATTTCAGTTACCTAGTACACATTCGCATGCTCAATCGGCTTGGAGTCGTACTTTTTTTCATGATGGTCGGTGAAACTAACTGAATTCTGAAGTTGTATGTTATGGAGTAGTTATAGAGTCATAAGTTGAGTCTGTTAACATCGGTTACCTCTTAAATGGTTATGAATGAGAAAGGTGTCCCAATCATCTACTTTTATATGGTATGTTAAATAAAGTAAAAGGAGGTTAAAAGAGTAACATATAATTGACTATGTTGAGCAAGAAAACTAAGTCATATGGTCTTTGATCTTTGGTTTGAGTGGTACAGGAAATCAAAAACTCTATGACTTACATCTGCTTGAAAATCAAAGTGGAATGTCGGTCCTTTTAGGTAATGTGACTTGAGAGTACTAAATGTCATGATTACTTACGGTTTTTGTTACCTGAGTTTGCCTATTTGTTTGAGTATTTCTGCTTACATTTTACTACTGTAGGGGTCTTTACTGTTTTGCTTATGATCTTCTACTGTTTTCTGATGTAAATTTCGTGGTTGATAGAATTATTATAGAATTATGACGTTATGATTATAGACAACATACTAAAAGTCAAGGCTTGGCGGTTCAATATAACTATATGAGTTGCTGAATTATCTACTGGAGACAATGATTATACCCTGTCTAAACTCTTCCGAATATTGTACTTTACTTAGTTTGAAGGGTTTGAGGAAGATGAGTTAGACAAAAAGTGTATTTCAAGGAAAAGTTTGAAAAATAAAAAGAAGTTAAAATACAAGTGTTTATCGAAAAATGACATGATCAGCTTGTTGTTTTTGGATTCATTCATAAGTGCTGATTCGCAAAGAATGAACCCTTCAGTGTACTTAGATTATGTTTGTACTGAGCATTGTAAACAAATTGTTAAGAATCTGTCTTAAAAGAGGTCTTATCTTTTATCGTTGTAACTGAACTGATTCATATCAAATGGTTGAACTTTTCAAACTACTACCTAGACAAACTAGGAAGCTAGACCATAAAAACACATGAAATAAACTTACAGTATTTCATCCATCTTAATCTGTTTCATATGTATCACTGATTACCATCAAAAGTGTATACAGTTACTAATATTGAGATGGTGAAGAAGATTTGTAGCTCAGGTGGATTACTTTGATGGATTTTTGTTCTCTGAGCTGGATAGTTTGGTCGTGGAGCTTTCATCTTTTTTCTGAACGATATCATCAGCACAAACTTCAGATAGAAGTAAAGCATTTGAGTTTCTCCACATGTGGTTCACAACTTGTCCTGTACGCCTCGATGTTGACCTTAAACCTATCATTGTTTACTTTTTTGTTTTGGTTATATCTTCCATTGGGTGATACAACAAAAACCAATCAACATCGAGGTGTATAAGATAAGCTGTGAACCACATGTGGAGAAATTCGAACACTTCACTTTTACCTGAAGTTTGTGCTGATGATGTCGTCCAGAAGAATGATGAAAGCTCCATGACCAAACCATCCAGTTCAGAGAACAAAACTCCATGAAAAAATTACTAATATGTTTGTCAATCATGAATGTATTAATTTCTTGGTCTAATTACGTCCTAGAGATATTTATTTTATTATAATTAAAATGGTGAAAGAAAAATTTTCGTTTAATTATAAATTGTTTATATTATTGACCTTTTTCTATTTTCAGAAGAAGGAATGAAATGTTGTAATGTTGTTGTAAATTATGAAAATGTGGCTAGTAATTACACTTCCACAAATAAGAGTAATACTTTTAATGAAATGAATGAACAAAATATGCAAAGTTGTTCCAACAATGTAAGTCCCATAAACTTCAATTCAGTTGTTAGAACCAATTTTCTTTATGCTATTCACAGTGAATAATTTTTTTTTGATGTAACTACATACATCACTTGTTATTTTTTGGTAATCATTCAAAATAGTTTCTATTTGGACTAGTTCATGGTGAGTTAGTTGATCAGTGAATTTCTAAATATCGAAAATATAACAGTATAGGTTAGATATCTTCCAATACTGGAGGCTCGTACAAAAGCGAATATAAAAAAGGAAACTTGATGATGTAATGTTGAAGTAAACGTCATTCAAATTATATAACTTGTTTTAGATACAGTTCTGATTCAATGCAAATTCAAATGTTGTGATATACCATACAAACAGTTTAGTATCCATCTATTTCTTTAATCTTTTATGACTATTTTAATACGTGCTATTACTGTAGGAAGTAATTTCCTACAAAGTTTCGAACAGTCAATTCATCAAAAATTCATACATTGAGTACTCTTAAATGTCTATGAAGAATCATAAAACTGATCAGATTCCTGATTTGTTTCCTCACTATTCAGAAATTCATAATGACGACCAATTTAAAAGAAGTGGCTACTGAATAGATCCCCTGTTAGATCTGGAACTAGATAAAGTACGTTTATCTCAGATCGAAAGAGAAATTGAGTTAGATCGGTTACGTCAAAAGGGAAGTGAACATTTTGATCAAGTTTTGACTGACAAGGGTATGTCGTATGAGTCTACATCTGCCTCACGTACAGTTAATATTCCTCCTCGAAAGGGCTGAATAACAATGATATCTAAAGCTTTAGACCTGCTGAAGAGAGAGACCATAAGATTTGATGATAATCCCATGAACTATTGGAGTTTCGTAGGGGGTTGAACCCAGGACCTTCAGTCTTGCACGCGAACACTTAACCGGTAGACCGTTGAGCCGGCATCCAACGGTGTTAATATCTAACTTTACTCAACCCATAATACTTCTTAAACCTTCGTTCACTGTCTGTGATGGATAACTTTCTCCACCCGACACGGGTTGGACTCCACTGGTTATGGCTTCTCACTAGAACTCCAAGAAATTCAAGTTTTCAATGGTGGTCTAGCTTAGATTGATTTGTAGTGTCAGTTGCTATGTTAAGCTTATACACCTTTATCTAGCTTCTGGACAGGCCAATTTATCCATTCTATTTGAGTCACGTTTTGATCTTGTTACTTATTCGCTTATCAATCATGACTGTTTTTATGTGATTGTATGTGTGTGCACACATCTTATTCTGTTCATCACATATCTGTAACCTATTTTTATATGGCTATAAATATTGGTTAACGCTTGATTAAAGGGAGTTGGCCCACACGCCTTCTCCACTGAATGTCATTTCACTTCGCTTCCTTTGCTTCGTTTCTTCGATCGTTTGTCTCAATCAACAATTGTACGAAATATAAGTATTCGAAATTCATTCTCGTATTTGACCTATTTGATTTCGTTACTCAACAACGCGAATTAAGTCGATAATTATATACGAGGATTGGCGACATGTATATGTCAATAGCAATCAATCATTCGATCTAACGGGAGTCAGATCTTAAGCTACTAAAGATCCATGAATTCATCTATTGAAATTACTTCAATCTCCGCAATCGCCCATTCTGATAATAATCAGTTTCTATCAATTCATCTGTTTATTTTTAATTTTCTCCAGACAGAAACACCATCATCATCATTAATTAATCATATTAAAAAACGAAACGAAGAAAATCTTCTAGCCTTAGAATTAGAACGTCAATCATTGGAAAGTCGTTGGACAGAACACGAATTAAATGCTAAATTGAATCAAAATAAACAAATACTTGTACAGTTAGCAGAAGTAAGTACTATTTATTGTTGATTAAGATGGTCTGTCATATTATATATATATATATATATATATATATATATATATATATATATATATATATATATATATATATATATATATATATTATAAAATAATCAAATTCTTACGTATGTGGTAATTAAATCCTAAACTTTGATTTCATAGAAGTTTACTGTTTTGATTATCTTTTACTGATACATTCAATAGCATATTGATCCTTTCATTATTTGAACTAATACTGATATAATGGAAAGAAAGAGCCAAGACAATCAGTATTCAATTGACAAGTTATAACAATTACAACAGTATATCAGTCCATTTCTTGTCATACACAAAAATCACAATGAGAACTCAAGAAAAAGAGAAAATAAAAATATGTTGAGGTTAGAAACGATGACTCGGATTTGCACTGATCTACGTCATCATATAAAATAATGATTGAAAATGAATTAATCGAACGCATCGGCAACTTTAATTCTACTGAAAGTCTCATCAACCCTAGCAGGTTACTGTCTGACTGAAGCTCTTCACAAATTTAAGAGTATCTCTTGACTTACAATATAAGCAAGATGTTCATCTTCCCATTAAAGGCTGAGTATACTGCGTAACAATTAACTATGTATTACTATATCTCTGGGAAGCATGGCTTCTGAAAGTTGAAGGCAAGGGTGGGGCTTTGGATTTTAATCATGCGTGTCTTTGGGTCATTTTTCGCTTATGTATTATGACTTTACGTCCGGCTTTTTACTACGTGGTTTATCCACCAATCAAAATACGAATTATACGCTCTCAGCACTATGCCAAACCAATGACGTCCGACCGGTATGAGCAGCCTAGCGTCCTTATTGGTCCTATGTCCGCCTAGACCGTTCCTCTTGAGTCCAGAACACTAATACCGACTTCCACTATGTGAATCGAATCTTTTATTTCAGACATACTGGGTTTATATATCAACCAAACGGATCTCAACGCACCATAAAATAGGAAATAACATTTGTATATAATAAAGCCAAAAAGTGGTTGTGAACGTGGGAGGCGGTAGTTAGTAAACTGAACATAGCTTAAGAACAGTAAATCGTACAATAATAAATTATAGGTCAAAATAAAGCTTTTAACAATGGGAATATAGACATACATAATCTAGTTACCGAATATTTATAACATGAGAATATATAAATAATAATAGTCCATTAATAAGTCTCAGACGTTACTCGTAATGTAATCTTCACTAGGATATAAAATATGTTGAGATCATCGGGTGACCAATACTGAAGTTAAACGTAAAGTAATGGAGAGAGATGATATATCCATTGATATGGTGTGAATTGACTGGGGTGATTCAGACGTTTATTACGTATGTCTACTTACTGTCTCCATCGACGCTCGACGTTTGCTGATATAGAAGCACGTTGGTATAAAGCTAGAAATGATGAAGTGAATACTTAACTTCAGTCCATCAAATCACTGACTGTGTGTGTATATAAGTCAATGTTTTTAGGTTCAAACTGCCTGGTTGTGATCTTGGTATTCATCGTGACCAGTGGTTAGTAGCGCTGGGTGATATGGCTTAAAATATGTTACAATGATGCAGAGGCATTTTCCCTCTTCCTTTAAATCTTTAACTTCAAAACGTTTTTATACTTTCTATTCTTATTCATTGATTCTTATTGAATCATATTTTCTATGCGTAATTTTTTTAATATCACCGAGACTGGTACAATCAAAATCTTAATAATTCAACCCCATTGTGTTGACAACTTTGACCTGTGCATATATATACCTGGTTTTATGTTATTTTCGACTCACCATCTGACCGCACCACTGATACTAGCTGTTAGCGTAGTATTGCGATGACGTAACTCAGACAAATTACAATTCTTTATAAATCTCAGGTCAATAGTCGGATACTTCATAGATCGGTTCGGCTTTTTCATTTGATACGTATATATTTAACAATGAGGTAATTTAGCGGCATATTTAGTTCAATAAATAAAAGTTTATACGTTAAATGCATGTTAAAAATATACTGGTGTACTTTTTTAAAATCTCTTATTAAAAGGAAGAAGCACGTGTTTGTGCTGAATTATCTGCTATACAAGATAAACGAAAACAACAACGTTCTACATTAATTTCTAATGTTACACTAGCTGAACAGAATGCTGCTGATATAATCAAACAAATACTGACAATTAATAAATCAGCAAAGTTGATAGAGAAGATGGAAGATGTGTTCAATGCACATCAGTTTAGTTCTACTGATTATACATCTTTGTCACAATCCAAACGAAAAGAAATCCTAGGTTCGTTTTTCTCTTTTTTTTCTCCTCTTCTATTTTAGCTCCCTTTCTAAATAGTTTTTGGTTAATGTGTGTGTATGTGATAAGTCTTCTAACTGAACTCTTCAATCACTCTCCTTATCTCTTCTAATAATCCCAACTAAATCTACACGACAACTTGAAGAAAAAATAAAAGGCGCAAAGTGTGAGAAAAATGTTTTACTCCAAGGTTAGCTTATGTACAAAAAATCAAGGGTATTCATGGTATTTCATATGTTTTCGAACTTCTGGAAGTTTATGGACCTATACTAAACATAGTAGCAAGATAGGTAACCATCCAATCAGAAGTGCGACATGTGACTCTTAACTTTCTAGATGTTTCTGAGACGCTTCTATCAAACGCCGATTGGTTAAAATCTTTCCCAGAATTTTCAGGGTCCCTCTGGACGTTTTGGAGGAATACTTTATATCTCCCCAACAGTGTATATAATTAATGTTCACTTTGCTCTTATAATTTCTCAGTATTCCCTTTTAAACTGTATTATAGCTTTTTTATTATTGTACTAGAGGAGAGTGGATATTTTTAATTTGTTTGATAAATATTTACCTGGTTCGTTAAATTGTGAATATAATTTTGAGCTGTCTGTTAGATGGATCAGTTCCTAGCGATGTAACTTACATGGTCAGTGTGAAAATATTCCGAGTATTTTGATTGATTTGTTATTTAACCAATCGGTACTGGAATATGAGTTAAGAAGATGCTAGAATCCTCTTTAAATAATCCTCAGTACATTCAGTTTCACTTTTTATCAAAATATACGTTCTTCATATCATATTATTACTCCTAGTCTCATCAAGTTTTGTGAAGCCCATTGATCAAAGAGTACTAGATAGAGACCAATAAAGCACCACTATCAAAGCACAATAAAAAGTCTTTTTATAATTAAACTCAAAATTAACATTAAAGGAAGTAGGTTGTGTTCATCACAGATTGATTTCAGTTAGACACTGTTATAAACCATGGAATATAGTAAAATTATTATTCTGTACTCACCAGTGATTTGATTCGAAATTTATTCTTAAAGTTTAAGTGGGAATATCATGACAAGTGAAATTTAGTTTAGTTCAGTTTAGTTGAACAGTGGTTACCGATGGTATTGAATGATCGTTGCACTATGTCGCAGACCCATTGTAGTTGAAATGATAGCACCAGAAGCCAACTCAGTTATTCTACCGGTTAAAGCGTTGACTGACAAACCTAAAGGTCCTGTGTTCGATCCCTAGCATTCTGCTGAGAAGTCTGATACTAGGATGAAACTGTTGTACAATACTCCTTAGGTTTCCGTGGTACCCAAACTGGGATCAATTTATGACAAACTTGAAAAACCCTTTAACTATACTATTAAACAAAGTAGACCAAAAGAGATAGTTATAAACTTATTTTGATAAATTTCCAACTTGGGAACTATTGAAAATTTTAAGAAATGCACTGAACAACATATAATATAGTTATATATCATGACAAAAATGTCACTACATTTTAGTGTGTTACCATATTGCTTACAATGATTTAACAGGCTCTGAATATCATAGAATAATAAACACTAATTTTAAGTAGTGATAGTATATCACTGAAAACGACGCAGTAGAGTAATCCATTATCTTGTTAAACAGATAAAATAATCGTTAACTGTATGTTGTTGATATGCATACAGGTTTATGTATGACAGCTTTTATCCACACTGTTTGTGGGATAGCTATTGTTAATACTTGGTTGGTCAGATCGTATTTGATCGGATGGGAAACAAACCTGTGATATTCTTTTTGATAATCATCATTGTTGTTTGTATTTTAAATTAGTTAGATAGAAACTAAATAATTTGTTTTGATGTTGTTTCGTTCTTTGAGCTGGGTAGTTTGGTCGTGGAGCTTTCATCGTTCCTCTGAAGTTTGTGCTGATGATGTCGTTCAGAGGAACGATGAAAGCTCCACAACCAAACCACTCAGCTCAGAGAACGAAACCCCATCAAAATCATCCACCTGAGATACAAATCTTCTTCACCATTTCAATAATTTGTTTGTTAACAAAATTTTATTTAAACAGCTTCAATGCAAGAAATGTTGTCAATTACAGACAATGCTTATGCAGTTCATACAATGAATTTGAATTCAACTAAACTTCACAGTCTTTCAAATAATAAAGATTCCACTAATGAATATGTTGAACAAGTTCTAGCGAATAAACGTGCTGATCATACAAAATTAACCTTTAATCTTATGCTAGAGGTAAGTGAAATGACATTTTAATTTTTTTTTATAAAGAAAGGGAGTCTTTGATACAGATTTTTGTTAAGCTTCTCATTCAATTAGAATAGTTGATTTCGTCCAAAATACTGGTTTTTGAATGATTGATATAACAGGACAGTAATTAAGCTTCATAGTTAGACATTGATTCCATTGAAGATAGGATAACTACTGTTGTTTTCATAACTTTCAGTCGTTTATTTTTTTAAGTGACTTCTAAACACGATCGATCTCATATTCAATACTTTGTTTACAAGCCTGTTATCTTGTAAACAGAAAGAAAACCTATTCTACTGGAAAGGTTCCTTGTATTTTGATATCAGTTCAATTGAGAGCATTACATCAATAATTCGGATTCATGAACAGCTATCTCTCGATCACACTATTCCATTGCATTATGATCTATCGATTGAAATTCTTTCCTTTCGTTTTAATAATAATCTTTGATCTATAAAGAGATAGAGATTATTTATTCATTTAAATTACAGCAGAGAGAGAGAAGAGTTATCATTTGTATTTAGTACTGGAAGCTTGTTAATCCTGTGTGTCTATAAACCGAATCTGTTATAGAACAAAGATACTTTAGAGATACTTGTAAATTCCTACTCTGAAGTTGTATAACTTATTTCAATGAATAAAGTGCGTTATTTTATTGGTTATAATATTTATGCTTACCTAACCACTAAACTATCTACCCTAATTTATTATGTTGGCCAGAAGAGAATCAGTTTTGAAAAAAAAGCTAGTAGTCTCTAGATCAAACTATGAACAATATTATGTCTCTGAAATCAGGTAATGCATATTTAGTAATAATAATAATAACAACGAAGGAACGCTAATTCCACCCTTCCACATGTACACACTTCTTAGTTTTTGCCCCCATGTGAACCAATTCAACCAGTTTCGATTGTAAAAGATTGAATTCCAAATAATTCATACCGTAATAACTACGATTTATATTATATTTTAATTTTTTTTTCTTTAAAAATACTTCTCATAAAGGAAAGTGTTCAAAAAGAAGCTTTCGCTCAGTTACAACGTCAAAAAGATGGTCAAGTTGCAAGATTACAAAAAGAGATATGCTTAGTAGAAGAAGAACTTTGCCGGCTTACCTTAGCTGAACGGTCACGTGTTAATCAGCGTACTGAGGTTAATCAACGTGTTCTTGATGAGTGTAGATCTGAACTACTACAATTGTTAACTCAATTAATAGATGAACAACAAGATCGTCAAAAGGAATTACGAAAACGTTTGGTAAGTCTTGTTATATTAATGTTATTCTGGGAATCTTAGTAATAAGTTTTGTTAAGTCTTTCGTTGCCTAATCGAGATACCCTTATCGCTTAATATTTTTTGACCACTTTACCTCTCTTGACTTAGTCCTCGAGATCAGAATACGGGTTGGACAGGTACGTCATTATACTCTAAATAAACCAAGTAAAGTGAGAATGAATCACAATGAGAAAAACGTCAGCATATTTGTAATTTTACATTTGAAGATTCTAAATTCTTTTCCATTCAACATGCCCTAACATAATTTGGTATAGGATATTCGATGATCCAATTTATGTCCTTTTGATCACATTGACGCAATCACAAATCAATTCCCGATTTTAGTTATATAAATAAGTCAATACGATTTACTGAGGAGACATGATGAGGTCACAAATTATTCGAATGTTTCACATAATTTAGATTCACGTATAGTGAAAATATATTAAGTGGAGAATCCATCAGACCATTTTCTCTACTATACTCTAATCTCTTATTTATCGTTTTTGTTTTGTTTACATACCTATTAATGATTGTCTGTTGTTATCGGTTATCATGCAGTCATTTCTCTATCATAACTAATTTGTCCTTAATTTCTTCTGCAGAATACTGGTTTTCTTAATAAACGTAACTGAGTTTTTTAAAAGAGAGAAGCTTTTGAATACAAATTAATTCTACTATTTGCTTTATTACATATATATTGGTTTTCTATAATGAAATGTACTTTCATATATATGTTAAACTGTTACGTAGCTACCAGGTTTTGCATTAATACATTCGAAGAGAACATTACTGATTACTGGAAATGACAAATTTATCATCATATCTAGGGTAAAATACTAATTTGTCCGTGTGTGATCTCTTTTGATGTCTGCTTCTTATTTCCTTTACGAAACTTTTGCCGATGGTTGACAATCTTTTGCGTACTTTTACAACATACTTGAGCATGACCATATTTACCACATCGGAAACAAACTATTTTTAAAAAAATAGTAAACATTAGCCGAATGATGCTTCGCGCATCGCCAACAACACGTTTAGATCTTTATAACATTTGTCTAACGTAAAGTCCATTTCACTCTATTCTATGATTTCCAATAAACTTTTGTTTCATGATCCATTTTAACTAACTGTCCAATGTAACTTCGTTAATTTGATGACAGGTGATATAGTTGAACTGAAATTGTACGTTATCTTTACATATTCAAGGAAAATATTTATATACATATATTTTTCTAATTATATTATTTTGTCTTCTATAGAAACAAATTAGATTTTAGTATATGGAAACTAATTTGTAAAAATTCCATACATACAACAGAGTATATGTGTATTTAAAGCTTTTGTTTTATCTGTAGATTCAGTTCAGTATTTCTGAGATGTTAGGTAGTTAGAGGTAGTCGGCCAAAAACTCTTTATAACTTGGGTTTCGTGCTAGTTGACATATATCAACATGATATACCTGTAATCTTAAGGAAACTGATGTTTCTTATGGGATTCAAACCCGTATCATCCAACTCTACAGTCTGAGACGTTGTTACAGAGTTGTTAGGAGCACGACTGAACTCCTTCAGGAATCAAACAAATATGATATCGCTCACTTCTCTCCCTCTAAATGCAAGCTGCTGCTTCAGGACTGGTCTGCGTCAACACCTGAACTAAGGATAAGGAGTGAAATAATCGAACGCGTTGACAACTTCACTTATCTTGGGAGTCTGATCAGCCCTAATGGTTTAGTGTCTGACGAAATCTCAGCACGGATTCGAAAAGCTCGTTTGGCTTTTGCCAACTTACGTCACCTATGGCGAAGGCGAGATATCCGTCATTCAATAGAAGAACGAGTATACTGCGCGGCAGTCCCTTCTGTTTTAATTTACGGCAGCGAAACATGGCCATTAAGAGTAGAAGACACCCGTAAGCTACTACTATTTGTCCACAGATGCCTTAGAAATATCGCTGGCGTCTGCTGGGATCACCGGGTAAGTAATAGTGAGGTTAAACGCAGGGTATTAGGAAAGGATGGTAAATCAGTTGATGGAGTTGTGAATCATCATCGACTGAAATGGTTCGGCCACGTTTTACGTATGCCTGAACACCGATTACCGCGACGTGCAATGTTAATCGATGTAGGGGATGGTTGGAAAAAAGTTAGGGGCGGCCAAACCAAAACGTGGCATCAATGCTTGAAGTCACTAACTTTTAGTCTGATCCATTTTGGTAGATGCAGACTACTTGGTTGGGGTCTGCGTGACTATCGTAATCAATAGTTGGAGACTCTTGGTGACATGGCTGAGAATCGATCACAATGGCGTCGGTGTATACACTCTCTGTCTTCCCTTAAACTAAGAGATTAAGATCGCTTCGTATGTTTCTTTCTACGAACTAATTCTTTCTTCCTTTACTATATCCTTGTATGAAATCTTTCTTTTATATATTACCACCTCTGAATTAACAATTTTTATGAATTTGATGTCCATCTTATTGTGTTAATGAGATATGGCAACTTGAACCGATGCATATATGTGCCTGGTCCTACGTTGTAGCTGACTGATTGACTGACTGATATCACTCACTATACTCAGTGATCAACCAATCATCGTATATCGATTATGCACATTTTTATTTAAATATATCTTTGTATTAAAGGAGGAAATCGAACAACAAAAGAAAGACGATCAATTGGATTTTTGGTTAGTTCAATATCAACGTGTATTAAATTCAAAACCTGTCAAATTACTTGATAAGGTCAGTTTCATAATAATAATAATAATAATAATAATAATAATAATAATAATAATAATAATAATAATAATAATAATAATAATAATAATAATAATAATAATAATAAACTTGCTAACTGTTAAAGTATTCATAATAATGAAATTATTACTTCTAGTTTAACGTAACTTAAAATTGTACTATAGTAACCAGTCAATAGTATTTGCTCTTAATTCAGTATAACAATTATTCGAAAGTAAGAACTGTTAATTCATAACACTTGATCGAATTTAATTGTATAAATATAGGTCAGTTGTTTTATTCTATACCTGTATTCTTTGTATTGTGAGTTTACTTTATAACTTTTCATTATTGTTATATGACTTATTATTTCTTAGTTATTGTTTATTAGTTTTGTACTATTTACTTTGTTCTGTACCACCTATATATGGTATGATTATCTGTAAAGTATGATTTCAGATTTGGGTTGAGTTGTGGTCTGATAATTCATGTACATCAGCTAAAGATGTTTGAGTTATATACTACCACCTCTGTATTACAGCTTGTTTTCTATTATTGAACCGAAGACCGAGTTAGAAGAAGCACATACACTTAAAAGTATCGATAGAAGTTAGGATTATTTTTGGCCTCAAACTCAAGATTCACTAATGTAATTAGCATCGGTTTAAGAAGATAGCAATAACGGAAGGTAGTTTAATCAGAAGTAAAGAAATATTACCAGGATTCTGATGGGCAAATTACTTCTCGAGATATCGATTAACTTACAGGCATAACATAATCTCTATTTGAAGACTTTGTAGAGGTGTTAATCATTCGCATCGATTCAATCGCATTCATACTTTCTTTCATTAAATCTTGAGTTTTATTATAAATGTATAAATTTGAATGCCTCGACTTCTCTTTCTCTTTCTGAACAGTAGTACTTCATATGTTTAGTTTCTTGCTATTAATATTATTCTTATCTGAATTCCTTTATTTTACGTCTATTTAATTTCCTCCCACTTTATTTCTCTAAGTATATCAACTTGAGATGATTTACAAACATAGCGGATGCTGTGTTTGTTTAAGAAATTTTGCCGGAATCTATAGAAGGGATTTATAATCATTTGTTATTTGAATGATCTGAATAATTTTTTCTGGTTAGTTTTTTTTAGCCAGTTAGTTTTCTACAGGATGGGGTCGCTAACACCATGCCCAACCCTCCTCATTTATCCGGGCTTGGGGCCGGCAGTGGTCCCAAAGGGGCCCCAGGCGAAATTGAATATTGCACAAAGTTTACTTACCAACTTTAAAATGTTTCAACAATTAGGCGTCATTAGTTTTAAATCTACATGGATAATAAACTAATGCCAACTGATCTTTATCCATACAACTAATCACAAATATTTAAAATATCGAAATAGTACTTTTGTTTAAAAATAAATTAAATCTATTGTATATCAATAGATTTACAGTTTCGTTCAGTAACCAATTCACACTCAAAAAATGTATGTTAATACGTAGATGATAGTATTGAAGATGAATGACATAGCATTTGGAAAAGGATAATTAATAGTGAAAATACTAGATTCAAACAGTTGAAAATGGTTAATTTAATTAATCTTTTGAGGTGAAATCGTGGATGTACATTTCTGAGGAGTCCCACAATAGAACGAAATGGTCTTTCAGTGCTTTCAGATTTTCCTTGGTGATCTATCTTCAATTATCTTGTGATGTCAACTATTAAAATTAGTCAATTCTCTTCAGATATTGGAACATTCTTAATTCGATTGTGTTTTTGAATTGTTTCATATAGAAAACTTACAACTATAATTGAGATTTAACTAATAGATCTGTTCTTCAACAATTAGAATAGTAGTAGTATAACCACTTAAGTTTCTGAGTAATCAAATTCACGATTGATTGTAGAAATTTTATGAAGGCGCAAAAGTGCACACCACTGGTAGAGATAATCGGTGAATTAAAAAAATTGAAAACATAATTATCTGTGAAAGTAAATGGATGTTTAGGAAATCAGTGGCTCAGGGTGCTCTACACTTACCTCCTCTTTGCAGCCACGAAATGCCCTGGTACGGCCGAGAGAGTTACCTCTCCCTCTCGAAATGCTCTCACATTGCCACATGCATACAACCACTGCCAGAGAAGTCCTACACACTACCTCCTCGCGGCGAGGGTGTTGATTACGAAATTGAGAGGACGGAAACAGAATGTCCGGCGCTTTTACCGGGTTGGTGGTGGGTACGGAGAGTCTACCTTAGGAAGCTGGAAAACCCTGATTCCAAACAAGTGGTGTACATGGGCTCCAGTATCTTGAAGGAACAAGTGGCGTATGAACCAATAGATGATCACTGGTTACCATGGGACTACATCTCCTTACGTTGCTCCACTGCCCTGCGGATCAGACCTTTAGGTCAAAGGCTCTAGGGGTGGCCCCCTACGAAAACCATGTGCTTCGGTTTGGGCACCAGGACAGTATCACAGCCCTCATACAAGTCGAATGATTTATGTGGCGCATATGTATTTGGTGCCTCATCGTACAAATGTTTATGTGTTTAAATAAATGTCACTATTTCTAACTTGATGTTATTTTCTTATCTGGGTACTTTGTAATGATTATTTGACCTCTTAATTTTAAGATAAGGATATATTGTTTTGAATTTTGTAGCCAGACTCAGATGTTCAAACAATTCTTAGTAATGCACAATCTTTGGAATTTCTGCCTAATTTTCAACGACATGCTATTACCTATTCAATTATGCAAACTATGACAGATAGTGATCTTAAAGAAGTAAGTTTGTTTATCTGTTGTTTTTAATTGTTTCATTCGGACAGTTCTTTCGAATAAATTAATTCGATTTGCATATCCGATAGAGTACTATCATTTTGAAGTTTCCATTCATTGGATTATTCTTATTCGTCAAAGGTTCATTATGTGCCTTCATATTATTACTATTCAGAACTGCATAGTTTCAAGTTCTATAATATTTTCGGATGATGGTTATCAGAGGAATTCAAGACGTTCATATCGTCCTTGGTTCTTGTCAACTGGATATACTTGTAATTTAATGCTGATATTTCTTCCGAGACTAACCCATTTCCTATCGCTTCTGTAGCGAAACGTTAGTTTTTTTAACTTTGTATACAATTGAACTAAATAGCCTTAAATATGGCAACCACCAACGGTACAGGATATCATCATGGCAGCCTACTTGAATATCTAGACTACCTGTTCCTGCCATCTAGATATTTCAACAAGTTATTTACTCTTGTTTGTTTTAACAAATTATGTCTATTAATCGCACTCAGGCACGTTTATGAAAAGTTTACGACCTTTTGATGTACAAGTTACTAAAAAGTACAATCAGAAACATTGTGGTAGCTTACAATATCCATTGAAAAGAATGGACATTATTCAGATGTCGATTCTTGAGCTGCTAACATCTAACTGGCAGTCACTCAATATTTATCGTCAGGATCGATCACGAAATAAAAAAAGGAAACTTGTTGAAATACTTTGTGCTGAGAATTATATATTGTGCCAAAAATATAATGTTGAACAAAGTCAATAATAATAATATTCGGAAGTCAGAACGGAGTTTCTTAGGACAAATTTATGTTCACCTAAAACAATACAAGCGGCACACACTGAAGCGAGTGAGTAAATATATATAATTTAACGAGCAAATTTCGTGACCAAGGTTATTAAAATGACCTTATCCCTTGAGAATGAAGATACTTCGTGGTGTCTGTGTTCACGGAATAAACTAATTTCACTTAAAATCGAATACCTGAATACCGAATTCCGTATAATTTATCAACCATAGGCTATTTGAGCGTTAATGGTTGGATAGGTTTCAGTCGTTTTGTGGAATCGTCAATCAATGAAAACCATAAGTCACTAAATAGCTGTCTCATCCTAGGATGGAATTCCTCAACATTGCTCACTTATGACCCTATGTGGGATAAAATCCAGAGACTTCGGTATAAGAAGCCGCTTAAACTTCATTTCACTTAGTTGGCGTCCTGGTCTCTTGCATTTTTAATTCAAGGGAGTTCATGATTGTTGTAGATTTGGAATATTTCGTTTCGTAATGATATTTTGGTACTTTACTAGTCTTTTTGAATTTTCTGGACACTTTTGGGGTCTATGAAACTGATATTGGATCACAAAAGTGCAGATGCACCAACTCATTGTTTTCCCGTATTTCTTGAACTAGATATTAATTCATATTTTCTGTCGTTCTAATTAAATATCTTTTCAAAATTTATTCTTTTATTTTTAGTCCTTCGCACTACTATTTATACTATTGTTCGGAACTTTTTCCTATCATTTCATCTTGTTGTGGCGTAACAACTCATGTTGACATGCATTCGTGTCTTTTTTTATCGATTGTGCCTGATTGACTTTTGCTGTTCGCAATTATTAGTGTTAATAATATCCTTTTTTTCCCTAGCTGGAATATCGTGTGGGGTGTTTTGTTTTCAATTTCTAACTAACCCTTTTTGATACGACCGAATCTGTTAAATTGGTGGTTAACTTGCTTATTTGGAGATTTTTTGTCTGTTATCCTGTACAGTATAGTGTGATGCTTTAATTTCGCTGATTTTTGATTTAATTTTATATCCTAATTTACAACTAAGTTGCTCTTCTATCTCTCACAGTTAATGAATTAGTGCAAGTATGTACATCTTGAGAACTAGCTAAAAGTAGAAAGAATCACTGTACACTTGACACACGATGCTGTGCAGTCTATATATTTACCGTATATTGATTAATCGTAAGTTATGACTGTTTTTAAAGGTAGCCGTTTCAATTGATAATCATGCCTTCGGCTTTTTTTGTTTTAAAAAACTACGTATAATAAAACATAGATTGGTATTCACACTCTTGGAGCACGTCGTGAGATTTTGAAGCAGATCGGTTTGTACAAAATGAGAACAAATGATGAAGACAAGGTAGTTCTAACACATTTTTCTCGCTTTTAAACTTATTATGTCGATCAGTGATATTTTTAAAATTGAAATTAGCTAATTTAAAAAGTAATATTACAGGTTCGGATCTCGCGAGAAATACCTTGATGTAGGTGGTAGCTTGGTAGTATTATGAGCCGTGATGCTATCCACCCAAGTTTGTTGAGCGCAACATGAAACCTAAACTAAAATCTGCGAGACCTCATACAGTTCCTAATTCTCTTCATGAACATTTAGTGCAACTGAGACACTGCTGTGGAAGCTCTGAGAAATTGTCTAATGAAATCCTTGAGAAATATTTTTAATACCTCCAATCTTCCCATAATCCTTCTCAGCCCACATATTATCCATAGATGTGTTAAGGAAAAACTTTTGTATTGGGCCATATCAATGTGTATTTATACGTCCATCTGTTCTTGTGAAGTAGGTTACATAATCCGTACAAAGCGAGAACTTTCTAAACGTATCTCCAAATATTGTCATGCATGGCTTTCGGGCAAGTGAACATAATTCAATCAACAGTTCAATACTAGAATATATTATGAACTCAGGTTATTTGGGGTCACCTGATAAATCCTTTAAAATGATTTTTTCTAACTCTTAAAGTATGACTATTGAACTTACTACATATAGTAATTTAAATTGATAATGTATTTCATACACAATAATTGATCATTCTTTTAATCAACTAATTATAGAAGCAGCTACATTTAAAATTAGCATCCATAATAAATTTACTTTACAAATGACATATTCGAAAACATCTTTTTATTCATTTGTAAAATTGTGTAGTATATTATTAGTAGTAATAAGATGTAAGAAGTTTGATAGGTATAAAAAGAAACAAACTGAGCATAGGATAACCTTGAGAATTCATAATCAACAGTTGATTAAATCAAATATGAAACAACAAAAGTATGCAATGTATAGAATTAATGGTTAAGACAGCAACTAACATTATCAACATTTTAGTTACAGTTTATTTAAACTTATAGAAAACCAAAGTCTTCGTGATAATCTGTTACATATTTTTGATTTATTCTTTTTTCTACAACAGACGTTAAATACGATAGAATCACTTCCAACACCGTATGTAACACCATCAGCTCCGGAGGCTATATTATCGAGTATTATTATATCTGACGAAGTTGTGGCTCGTATGGAAAATGAGTGTTGTATATGTCAAGACGCAATAGTGAGTGGAACATTGTTTTACACATTTTATTAATGTTTCTGAGTACATTTTTAATACTAACAAAATTTCGACTACCAAATCCTTCAACTGATCATCAAAAAGTATGGGGCCACAAAGTGATGTTGTCCTATGTTTAATGATTTAGGTCAATGATTTCTCGATCAAATCTGATGCCTTTCTGATTTCCCGTTTTTGAGCTTAAATTAAGCATTAGATAATTATGATAACTAAGATCTTATAAAATATACTTATCAGGCCAATTCTCACAGATATATATATATACATCTATACAAGAAATAGCCATATAGGATAATGTTGTCTTTGGAGAAGTAATAAAAATTGTTTTACCGAATTATCAGTGAAACGTTATATATTCATTCACACAATGAAGCGAATTCAGTGAGACTATAATTTATGGACGAGATTAGAACGACGACAAAGTGGCCTTGAGAAAATTCACCTTCTAGGGTTATAAATCAATTTGCGGAACTTAAATTAAAACTTGCAGTTGGATGTCATGGATGTCATGTAATCCTTAAGTCATTCTATGGCCTAGGATAACACGACAACTTCTCTCCTCTTGATTATTTTCAAATGGACTTTTATTGTTTGACCTTTATTAATTTTCATATAAACATGTCTCTTACACATTAATACAAATACATATTTATGAAAATACTTCACGTTGATTGGATGACTTATTCAGTATACAGTAAACCGAAGAACCTTGTACCTATTTATATTCGATAATTTTGTTGTTTGATTATATTTTCCTTGAAAAAGCTTGGACCAGATTGCCAGGCGAAACGTTGGATTTACTTAAAATTCATTCGCTGAGATTTTACAAATATATTCTTCTTTTTAATGTCTCAAATGAACTCGGCGCCCAAATATTGTGAAACTATTCGTTTAAATTTAGACGAAAGTTCTTATTTATGACATCAGCTATAATATCAAAATGCTATTTCGCCACATGGATCAATGATTTTCGCGCTAAAACCCAAGACTTGTTCAATCAAATCTCATTGGTTCGTCCATAAATTATGGTCTCGCCGCAAATTCTTATGCGCTCAGTAATTAGTCATGGAAGTAAAGGTTCAATCCTAGTGGTCGCTTCCTCTATTTAAAAAACACTCAAAGCTAAATTTCATAACACTGATATGTGAAATAAGTGTAGGTTCAACGCATACGATTTTTAAAAAGTACTGAATAGAACTCGATATATTAAGTATAGATCTCTACAGGTCTCTAGCAAATGACTTTACGGTCAGAAATTCCTAGGAATTACTATTTAGTGAAACATTTGAAACCATAATTGGCATGTGATAGTCGTGTGTGTCTGTCGCAGTGGCGCGGATACATTTGCTTTATCTTCTTCTGAATCTTGAGTTCCGGCATCTCTTCATGTGTACCCTAGCAGTCTTTCCAAACCATAATCTCCAATGCATAGTTTTTCTCATTATCACAGTGCTGCTGCGATCATTCTAACTCTGTCGCCATTCATTCTGTTAATTTCATCTCGTGCTAATTTGGTGTGGCATCTTGGTCTAACGCAGATTTGTGCTAGGCTGTATGTCCTACCGTTTTTAACTCTTAAATTTTCATTAACTGTCATACTTTTTGTTTATTCCAAGTACAGTGCTCAACGATATTCCTTCCATGTGGTCATGTCTGTTGTTGCAAGAAATGTTCTGAAAGTGTTCTTGATTGTCCACTGTGTCGTTCCAACATACACAATCGAATTCAATTACATTTCTGATTATGGTAAAACCAGGTAAAGGGATTTTTCTGATATCAGTCAATTTTTGCTGCCTTACATATAGAACGCAGCAGAGTCTAGAAACTTTAACTTCCCTTAACATCTTTAGAACTTTCAGTGATTCGCTAATCACATAAACTTACATTACATAATTATGCACAGGATTTTTAAAACTGGATGTACTATTTATTATTTGCAATTAACATGCATCTATCCACATTATAACTTCCAAAATGCATTTTATAAGATACTGGGAGTATCAAGATTTGTGGTAGGTATCAAGGAGATCAGATTTCGGCTTTAAAACCGCTTTGTCAGGAATACTGACAAGCCAACCAGGCTCCAGTCCATGAAATATTTGTCGAGGATCTTTCCGCATAGACATCAGCTTTCGAGTGGATTCTGAGGATGAACTAAAATCGATTGGGCGATAACCATACTTTTGAGCCAGCCAAATTCGAGATTTCGCCACTGCCTCAGGGTCCGCCAGATAACCTCGAGACTCAGCGTCCGCGTAGAATGGAATCAACGCCTATAAGAAGCAAAATACATTTAAAATAAAGAATAATGATCAAGTACCGAACGATGGTAACATGGTGTAAACCAGATTCTAATATTTTTCGAATTTAAACTAAATTTTGTTTCTACTGCCTATGCGATATTATCTGACTCATAATAATAAGATAATAACAAACTAAAAATCCCTAAATGGCAACACTTTTTTAAAGTGATATGTTCAAAATGAGATTTAACTATAGATTCAATATGAAGAAGTCAAAATGAGTATGTTCACCCATTAAACACACAGTACATTGATATTTAACTACATTAAAGTTGATACTCCTAGCTATATTTGTCCAGTGACCAGTAATATATTAATTATGAACCTTGAGACCGGGCATTTTAAAATGAAAATTGATTTTCGAGGTAATGAAGAAATACTCTGGACTTATTTAACCAGGTATGAATTCAGGATTTATGACAAGATAAAAATTTATAATGTCTAAGAGAAACCAACGAGAATGTGTCTACGAATAAACTCGTGAGATTTTACCGCACCGTAAAACTTAATTAAATTTTTACTAAAGAGGAGTAGCCAGAAAACAATATATTACTACCATATTCGCAGATGATAAATTCATCAGTATCAGATGAATAGAAATAAATTGTAGTGTAGAGTAATAAAGTAAAGTCTGCGTTGCAACACATACTGTGACATTGGGTGGCACAGGCTCGAGCCATACGGAGAGCATCGCCGTCCTCAATACTGAGGACCTAACTCTTTAACGAGTTTCTACTAGCACAATACAGACATTTAAGGTTAGATGCTGATATTCTTCAACTGCCTAACATTAGGTTTATGATCTCCATTTTCTACTGTTTCACAAACCACAACATTACACTTAAACTTGAGTTATTATCAATTTCCAGTTTTAACTCGGTATATATATATATATATATCAGCGGTTGGATATTAGTAATAGCTACGAATTCTTGATTTTCAAAAAAGTATGAATGATAGACTTGGAAAACCGCAAAAATCTCCTTCGGTTCAGGTTGTGTTACTCTGCAACTAAGAAATATGAGTAGGGAGAGATTAATGGAAGAAAAATATTATACTCAAAATGTAGGTAAAAGGCAAATGGTGCATTTGTGGTACTATGGTCGAATTCGAACTGTTATTGATCACTGGTTCTTAAGATCCTGAAGATCCTACCCAGAAAGTTAACTAGAATCAGATTAATAACCGTGTTTTATCACGGAACACCGTCTAGATTCGTACTTCAGTCATCCTAACTATCCGTTCAAATATGAGCCACAACTTTTCGCCCTTTTCAAACATTTGACATTTTTCGATAGAGCCAACACTAGAAGGCAGATTTTGTGTCATTTACTTTTAGCTGCATTGTCTGCAAACCTCTTGAGAAATAAAGGATGTTGGAATTAAGTTGTCAGTTGATATTTTCTTGCCATAGAGTAGTAGTGGTTTATCATTAAATGTGGAAGACTTTTGTTTTTTTCACTAGAAACTCTAATTCAAAAAGTCCATTTTCGGAATTATCGTCGAAATATGAGATACATATTGTTCGGGCAGGGAATTCAAACCAACTATTACCGAGTGAAACCATAGTATACCGACAACCTTTTAGTAGTTTAGAGTTGCAAATAAGGGTTTTGGTTATTAACCGATATCAGCTATAATGCTATTTAGCCACATGGATAAATGATTTTCGCGCTAAAATCTAAGTTTTTCTAAATAAAATCTCATTGGTTCATCTATAAATTATAGTTTCACCAGTTTTGTTTTGGCAGCGGAGTAGTATTATTAGGTTTCACACAAAAATTGTATATCAAAACTGAGTATATGAACTTGCACTTGGTAAATGAACTATATTTTTTATTTCAAGCCATTTCATACACATAGTTCCCTCTATTATCTTAAAGAGAGCAAGAACGAAGATTGATGCAAAATAATATGAATTCATTTTATTACGTTAGGTTTTCATCAGCTGCTTACAGCTTATACATACAAAGTTGATTAAGGATGAAGATGTGTATCATGATGTAACGAAGATTTCAATAGAGTTAACTATATTGTCCTTGCTGTCTTCAAGATATTTGTTTACAAAAGAAAGTGTCTATTAAGTGCCAACAGAAGCAAAGAACACACAAATGTCTGTCGGCAAATCCTATAGGATCCATTTATTATTTGTCTTTCAGAACTGAAATGTAAGTTACATGCAGTTTACGTTAAATACATTGATTCGACTTCGAACTATGCAGTCAGTAAGTAGATAAATACTAGGGAGAATTGTCTTATAGAGCTACGTTTACATAAAAAAGGGACCGATGATGGCCACATATGGTAATCTGTGTTTAGTTGAAAGTGTTTGTGCATGTGGGCACATTGGATGTTGATAGAATAATTGACCTCTCTTATCGGTCTGTGCAGTGACCGAACGAAACACCTTATTCTGATGGGAAGCTGTCAGTATTATAAAAACAAATTGAAAGGTGCACATGGGAACCTTCCAAAAAACACTGATAGATACTCACCACCACTTCAATTGGTACAACCAAAATTGTTTGTTTCTTCGGAAGAATTTCCAATAGATTAGTACAGTGAAAATCCGACTTTTAGTGCGCATTTTGAGACTAAATGTGCTTAAAAAATGTAAAGCATGTTGAACGAAAACCTGTCGTTATGGATTAATACACCATCATTTTATGAAACCCGCACAACACTTAGGTAAATAATTTACCATTAACTAAGGATACTTTTTTTCTGGTTAGCGTTTTTTTAGCGAGTTAGCTTTCTACGGGATGGGGACGCTAACCCCATACCCAACCCTCCTCCTTTATCCGAACTTGAGACCGGCAGTAGCACCCGGAGGAACTCCAGACCGGTCTCAGACAAGGTTGCTTACTCTCACCCTTTCTCTTTCTCCTGGTGATCGACTGGATCATGAAGACGTCAACATCTGAAGGGAAGCACGGGATACAATGGACATCTAAGATGCAGTTGGATGATCTAGACTTCGCAGATGGCCTGGCCCTTCTATCCCAAACGCGACAACAAATGCAGGAGAAGATGACCAGTGTAGCAACAGCCTCGGCAGCAATAGGTCTCAATATACACAAAGGGAAGAACAAGGTTCTCCGATACAACACAGCATGCACCAATCCAATCACAATTGACGGGGAAGATTTGAAAGACGTAAAAACCTTTACATATCTGGGCAGCATCATTGATGAACATGGTAGATCTGATGCAGATGTGAAGGCGCGGATCGGTAAAGCAAGAGCAGCATATTTACAACTGAGAAACGTCTGGAACTCAAAGCAACTGTCAACTAACACCAACGTCAGGATTTTCAATACAAATGTCAAGATAGTTCTACTGTATGGGGCGGAAACCTGGAGAACTACGAAATCCATCATCCAGAAAATACAGGTATTTATTAACAGTTGTCTACGCAAAATACTTCAGATCCGTTGGCCGGACACTATTAGCAACAACCTACTGTGAGAGAGAACAAACCAGATCCCAGCGGAGGAAGAAATCAGGAAGAAGCGCTGGAAGTCGATAGGACACATTGAGGAAAGCACCCAACTGCGTCACAAGACAAGCCCTCACATGGAATCCTCAAGGCCAAAGGAGGAGAGGAAGACCAAAGAACACATTACGCCGGGAAATGGAAATAGACATGAGAAAAATGAACAAGAATTAGATGGAACTAGAAAAGAAGGCCCAGGACAGAGTGGGTTGGAGAATGCTGGTCGGCGGCCTATGCTTTATTAAAAGTAACAGGCGTAAGTAAGTAAGGATAAGTTTCAATTAAAAAGAAACTTTGATAAGAAACGAAGTCAACATGTATAGAAACAGGAAGGATAAGAATCTGAAAAGTACTAGTTGAAAGAGCGTCCTTGATTAGCGCACAAAAGTTAAAAAGTATAACAAAACGTAACTAACTATAGTATTTTACCGACGCATGGCGCAAAGGTTCATCTGCACGTTCAAGATAATTAATGCTGTTTTTAATATATAAAACACATAATAGCTACATGAAACAGGAAATCGATTTGTGACTTACATTAGGAGGCAATTTAGCTTTTGGGATCGGAATGCCTTTCATGAAGAATCCTTGAGGGTCAGATTTTACCCAAACGGAATACAGATCATAATAACGGTTACAGATTATTCCCCCTACTCTTTCCACAGCTGCAATTACTTCTTCGCTAGCATACTGAACTTCAATATTAACAGGAGTAACAAAGTTATCGATACCCTACAATTGTTTAAACAGTTTATTACACAACCTTACTTCGTCAGTTAGATGGAAACCATATTGTCGATCATGATCCACATTTAAACGGTAAAGATTGGTGTTGCATAGTGTGGAAATGTCAATAGGCTCTAATGGATTTATTCGATTGAGATCTATTAGTCTTTGAAGCTCTAAAAGCGAAATACGGTGAAGATTGTTTTCAGACCTTGGTTTGTAAGAAGAACTATGCATTTACTTACATGCTGTTAATGTTGTAAGGTTCTTTAGGAACAGAAAGATAAAATGGCGTCTTTGCGCCCAAAATTCCCAAGGGTGGGAATGCTTGAAACTGGGAAGCACCACGATGACCAAGACCTCTTCGCATTCGTTTCAAACCGTGGTACTTCTACTACCAATGAAGATATATATATCAATTTTCTTACGGGTGGTTTGCTTCCTGGAAGATCAGATATATTCTGAGGAGAAACTCGAGGATATTTTCTTAACAAGGCCAAAGCTCTATCTACTGTTGGCATCTTTCTTTGTAATCACGACGGAGGTGATAATCCAAACAAATAATTGATAATAGGTTATTTTCTTCTTATTAGGCAGTCAATTAGCAATACTTTCCTAAAAGACTTAAGATAGAAATATACTTTTTAGAATTACAAGCATAAAATTAATTAGCAAAGCACTTACTGAAAGCGATTTAGGATAATGAACTGAAACCGAAAAATTTATCGCATAACGAGAGCTTCAACTGAAAGTGCTTTAGACTACATGTGTTATTAGAAGTAACTAGCACAGCCTACAAATCATTTTTCAGAGACGTATGCTGACAGTCGCCCTCACTTAGCTTGGCAAAATTGGCTAACTGTTTGTTCTTAGAGACCTGCGTCTATGTATTAAAAGAACATTTTGATAGTGGGAATACATGGTTCTTGTCATATTCCTACTAGAAACTGAAGGACAAAACAATTGAGTTAAAAGTAGGAGTGGTCGAAAAGTAACATCCAAAGTAGTCCCTTTTATTATCTACAGAACTAAAGTCATTTTTGAGCCTTCTTTTGAAAAACTCAGCGGAGGGGTTCACCACTGTAACTTCCTGTAGAGAATCCCACAACTCACTATTTTGGACTGAGTTTCCACGGTCTTCTGTGCGAGCTCTTTAACACTCAGTCATAAGTGTATATCCTAAGCGCGATTCATTACTAAAATGAACAAGTGACCTTTCAGGGTGAAGAGGACTATAAATGCGGCATCAGTTCATAAAGTCACTAACTTGGGGTCTGATCCGTGTTGGTAGATTCAGATTACTTAGTTGGGGTTCACGCGACTATCGTAACCATTGGTTGGAGACACAGTTGCGTAGGTGTATACACTCTTTGTCTTCCCTCGAACCGTGAGATTAAAATCGCTTCATATCTTTCTTCCTACGAACTAATTCTTTCCCCCTGTATTATATACATATATGCAATCTTTCTTTAGTATATTACTGTCACCGAAGTAACTACTACAAATTTGGTGTTGATCTTGTTGTGCTAATGAGGTATGGTAACTTGAACCGATGCATATATGTGCATGGTCATAAGTTTTAGCTGACTGGCTGGTACCGTAGTCCTGAATGTGTAGTAGTAGCTTCTTCCTAAGTAAACTAAAATCATTACAATTGATTGATCACTGGGTGGTGATCAATGTCTTGCTTGTCTAGTCCTTATTAGTGCAGATCGAATGCTATCGATCATGTTGCAATGTGACCACCCGGGTCCAGGGTTTCCTGTTGACTACCTCCAACCACCATCTAAATCTCAATACATAGTGCCCGCATTGTCGAGTCACCTAGACTGGTGGCCACATTGCAACATGATCGATAGCATTCGATCTGCACTAATAAGGACTAGACAAGCAAGACATTGATCACCACCCAGTGATCAATCAATTGTGATTACATCTCAGTCCTACAGGAGGATAGTCACGGCTCGGATAGCTCAGTGGTAACGTCTCTGACTGTGAAGCTGGGTGACACGAGGTCGAATCCGCCAGGGAGCACCAGTTCCCTCAAGATTACAGGTACACCTTGCTGACGAGTGCCAAATAGCACGAAACCCGGGTCCAGGGTTTCCTGTTGACTACCTCCAACCACCATCTAAAACTAAAATCATGGTCAAACAGGTGTAGAAGCCTAATAGTTACTTATTTATTTGTTGTCTTCGTAAAAGAGAGGGCCCGGATTTACTAGCTGAATCAGATCGAGCAAAAGCTGAGACTTTTTCAATCTATTTTAGCAAAGTCTACTCTACGTGTATTGTTACAAATACTTATCCCAATCACACTGAGATACCAACCATTGAATCTGTACATGTGACTGAGGAAACTGTTCTTCTATTGGTCACTAACCTCAAACCTTTAAGATGCCAGGGCCTGATGGGCTACATCCACGACTACCGTCATCCCTCGCGGACATCATTTCAAGATCACTCGCGATGCCCTTCAACATATCCCTTTCACTGGCTCAACTTCCTAGATTGGAAAGACGCTATAATCAGTCCTATATTTAAGAGTGGTCAGAGATAGATAGTATATAACTACCGACTTTCCAGTCTTACCAGCATAGTCCTTAATTTATTTGAGAAGATAATCCCGGTTAACTCACCAATTCACATAGATTCTTACAATTTGTTAACTCCCGAGCAACACAGGCTCTGAAACAAGCATTCATGCTCGACTCACTTATTGCGAGAGAGGATTATACGGCATCCCTAGATAACGGTCTGTCTGTCAATGTGATATTCGTAGACTTTAGCAAGGCGTTTGACAAGTTCTCACTAAACGTTTATATGCAGAATCTCTCGAGCTTCGTGATAACAGGTGATGTACAGGAATGGTGAGAAAACTTCTTATGTGACCACAAACAGAGAGTGCGGGTTAATGGAACGTTACCGGAATGGAAGCTGGTCAAAAGTGATGTACCCCAATGCACTATATCAAGTCCCCCAAATGCCCTGGTACGGTCGAGAGCGGGGTGGGTCCGCCCTCCCTCTCGAAATACTCTCATATGGCCACGCGTATACAGCCTCTGCCAGGGAATTCCTACTCATTGCCTTTTCGTGGCACTACTGTTGTTTACGAAAATGAGAGGACGAAAAGCGAATGTCCGGCGCTTTAACCGGATCGCAAACCAATGGTGCACATGGGCTCCAGTATCCTGCGGGAACGAATGGCGTATGAACCAATTCTCGGTCACTGGCTACCATGGGAATGCATCTCCTTACGATGCTCCACTGCCTTGTGGGTTAGACCATTAGGTTAAAGGCTCGGGGTGTGGCCCCCTAAGATAACCACCTGCTTCGGTCTGGGCACCCGGGCAGTATCACAGCCCACATGCAAATGATGAACTCTCTATATCTATGGAAACTACATTTCTCGCTCCGAATAACAATCAAATGATTCAAATTATTATTATTATTATTATTTACTACATTATTATTCACCCTCTTTTATTCCTACTCCGTCTATGCTTATTTTTCGGTTTATACAGCAGCTCGTCTTTGGTGGAAATATAACTCTATCTAAACGTTCTCCATTCACTGTCCGGTTGAAAATTGTATGTTACCACCGAATAAGAGAACTGAATCAGTTTTTCTGAAACCATGTGCACCATTCAAACTGGCTGCCTTCAACGTTCGCACACTTATGCAGGTCGGACAACAGATAGGGCTGGCTATAACTTTGGAAAGTCTTAATATTGATGTTTGCTGTCTATCGGAGACCCGTATTCAAGACTCTGGTGAAGTACTACAATTTCGATCTCCATCTGTCGCTTCGAAAAGCTTGTTCTATGTGCGCTTATCCGGGGACCTTGTGGCATCTTCGTCTGGTCTCGCTGGCGTTGGTGTCGCACTAAACGCTAGAAGTGAGGCAGCACTAATCGATTGGATACCCATTAACAGTCGGTTATGTGCTGTTAGATTAGAGAGTTCCATCAAAGTGAGAAGAAATCGGCGTGAGAAACGATGTCTTTTCGTCATCTCCGCCTATGCTCCGACAGATTCCAGCCCGGATGCAATCAAGGATGAGTTTTACCACCAGTTATCTGTTCTTCTCCAGAAAGTGCGTTCGACAGATATTTTAATACTAGCCGGAGACTTGAATGCTCAGGTCGGGCGTCCAAGCACAGAAGAGAGTCGTTTAGGTGGCTGATGGGGACTCGTTGGTCGCAGGTCAGATAACGGGGACCGTCTACTGCAACTGTGCACAGACCACAACCTGTTTCTGGCTAGCACTAACTTTCGGCACAGTCATCGCCGATGTGCCACCTGGCGTCCTCCCTCTGCACCCAATATCTGGACTCAGATTGGTCACATCGCGATCAGCTACCGCTGGTGTGGTTGTATACGAAACTGCCGCTCCTTTCTGAGTACTTATCTGAACTCTGACCATGCCTTGGTCTGCGCCAGTCTTGCCTTATTCTTCAGTGGACAACGAAGTGACCGCCATCAAAGGATTGATATTAGCAAGCTGGTTGCAACTTCTGTTGCAAATAAGTATCGAACCGAGCTAGCCTCTAGGCTAGCTACCACTCCACCGAAAAGTATAGATGAGCATTGGTTGGAACTGCATTACGCCATGAAAATGGCGGGTACAGTCAGTTGTGGGTTTGCGAAGCGTCCCGCTTATAAGCACTGGGTTTCTCCAGGCCTTTACAACTCATTGAAGCCCGTCGGTCTACTCCGGGTGACCGTGAGTTTGACCATAAACGAAAGAGGTTACGTAAGGAAATTGGGCAAAGCTTGCGTAAGGACCGAGAAGCCTGGTGGTCGGAGCGTGCTAATGAGCTGGAAGCAGCAGCTGCATCTGGTAACTACCGGATGCTCTTCCAGCTCATCCGAGCCACTGGCAGCAAGAAGTCTGGTGTGAGTGAAACAATCTGCGAGGATGATGGGATGCCAATCATCAACATCCATCGACGTCTTGGACGATGGGCAGAATTTTTCGAAGGGCAGCTCGACTGGCCTGCTGCTCCAGCAACATCGGTCAGACTGACCTGCCCTCCATGGCCGGTGACGGCTGATCCACCAAATGAGGCGGAAGTCCGCAAAGAACTCCAACTCTTGAAGCGTTACAAATCACCTGGCCCAGATGACTTATCTCCGGCTCTTTTTAAAGATGGTGGTGGTGACTTTCTGACTAAGGAACTGACTGTATTGTTTACAAAGGTTTGGGTGTTAGAGAGGGTACCAACGTCATGGAACGAGTCGATATTTGTCCCTATCTTTAAAAAGGGTTCACGTCGTTCCTGCAACAACTATCGGGGGATAAGTCTACTTCCGATTGCGTCCAAGCTATTGGCTTACGTCATACTTCGTAGGTTGTTCAAAACCCGAGAAAGATTGACTCGCGAGGAGCAGGCTGGGTTTCGTTCTGGTCGAGGATGTATTGATCATTTCTTCACTCTCCGCCAAATGTTAGAACACCGCCATACTTTTCAAAGGCCAACAATCGTAGTGTTTCTTGACATCAGGGCTGCCTTCGATTC